TATGTCATTTAGAAAAGAAATGTATTGTCTTTCATAAACTAATAACCAAATCGTAAACAAGACCATATTTTGGGAACTATTGGACTTTTTAGGTCGAGAGAGTTGGGGGCCGGACGAGCCCCGCCCTGAGGTAAATCCGGCCCCTACCAGGGCAAGTATAGCATGAAGGATAGAGAAGACAATTTACTAATAAGTGTATGTAATTTCATTCAATTCTGTTGGAAAATAAGTCCAGAACAAATCAGTGAATACAAAGAAAAAAATACTTGTTTATTGCGACGTAAAAATATTATTTTTGTGGTCAATTGGGTGACATTATCAATAGTGACGTCATTTGGCACAATAACAGTTGCATTCGGGGTGGCCGAATGTGCCCCGGCAAAAGGGGCCGAACGTGCCCCAAATTGATATTTTCATAAAAAAAAAACCACATTGATTGTCTGTGTCCACTGTGCCATACTCGGAGTCGTTTGCGCCAGGCGTGAGTTTCTCAATTTACTCAATCGAGCTGTTTAGTTCCGCCTGGAACTGTCCATTAATGCAATCGACATTTCTAAACTTCATACATTTTTGTACTAACTATTAACACTGTATCATATCTGAGGAATTACATATGTATACTATATATTCAAAACTTAAACTCCACTTTATAGTATAAGCAAGAAAAAATAATGTCATGAAAACCTATACTTGTCAAAATCATGTGCAAGCCCGGGCTTATTGGCTTACATGGTAGCTACGCGCCTGGTGAATGTAATCACAATATTCTGACCATAATTAATAGACTTATTCCCCTTGGTTTCATTAATGCAGTACTACATGCATTCCAAGATGTTTTATTGCACTCGATCATTGATCTATCAGCTATGTTGAATTATTTCTCCTTCAATATCAATCACTCACAAAAATTTAATACTTTTCAATGAATTATGCTAATAACTGCTCATTCAACGTGAGACCGGCGTATTATACCATTTCTTGGCAATCTCATTAAAATCAGATGTTAATAAAAATACCTACGGCTATTCATGCGGTACGTGATAATGAACAGCTGTATTTATTCAGATTGGTTTCTTGGTAACCTTGTTTAGTCATGCTCAAGAGACAATGAATTTTGTGATTCTGGTTATCTGTTTCTATGGCAACAGAAAAATATAATTAATAAAGATACCTTAACAGTAAAAGGCACTTTTATTCAACTAGAATGATGCAGATAAAAAAATGTGAAGATATATCTTAAATATGGTTTTTGAGAATTATTCCGCAAATGACAAATTTTGTGGTCTGGCTATTTAATAGTCTCAATCACTATCAGGTTACAAAGGGGAAAAAATCGAAAAATGAAACTCCCAATAGGAAAAGGCAATACTTAATTATTATTATAAGACAACTAGATTTATGCATTTTTGGAAAGTTTTGTAAAGTTACCTACTGGTTTTTGAAATATGCTCTGTAAACAAAACTTTTGGATGGACTACCTGATGCCTGTGGATCAAACTGGGTAGCAGTTTAGGTTTCTAATTCAAAAAAACATCTTGAACACCAGTCAACAACTATATATTGTACTTGACCTTTTTAAAAATTTGATTTCACACAAGAATGCATTTTCATACAACAACAGGACTTTTTTCTCACTATAAGGGGAATGGAGCCCATGGCTTTTGAAGTAGGAAAAATGTGCTGTAAATTGGTAATTTTGTTGAATTTACCAAATACTGACACTGATTCTTTCACAAAGTATCCTCTAAAAGTCTATAAAACATTCTCATTTATAAAAGAAAGATTTTGTCATTTGGATACAAGCTGTAATTATTGTGAAATTTGTTAATGGGATTAGTTTCACCAGGTAACAACATTTCTGTCAAACAGGTAAATGTAGTTATAAGGTACCCCCCAAGCAAGAACACTAATTATCCCAAGCACAGGTAGGTTTTGATACAGGTCATTAAACTGAATCGAATTAGCCATATTTCTGTATCACAGAAATGATGATGGCATCGCCCGTGGAAGCTGCATTAACAGGCCTAGGGCTTTGTATTAAACGGGAGCGAGTTAAATTTGTAAGTGAAATTTGTATATGTGACTAGTATGTCCTGAAATTACTTGATTAAGTCCCGAAACATCTTGTGTATGTCCCGAAATATCTTCAGGACTCTCAAAAAAACCTTTTTACCGAACATCTCACATTCTTACTTTGCAACGCGAGACCGGCGTATTATATCGTGGCTGGCTGTTTGTTTCCATGGCAAAACGGAAAATAACAAAAAGTGAACTAAATTTAATTACCAAAAGGCACTTATTAAGACTAATGAAATGAACAGCTAGTGCTTACGAATTTTCATAAAGTTTTCTTGAACGGTTTTGTAGTTATAGCTTGGAAACGCCACTGTCAAGATAAAAATGTGAGCCAGTAGGCCTAATTGTAACAAGTTATTTTACTCTAGTTAGATACTTTATTTTATGGAGGGAATGTGGTAAAACCATTCAGCATTTGTAAATCTTACACTTCAAATATGTTAACAATATATATTTTCTGACTAAGAATATGATCCATGAAGGTATTCATGGGTAAATCCATTATGTTTGCTCCCTGACTGTCTCCGGGAAGTTAGCTCCGGATACTTCCCGAAATTCCGGAATTATATTTTCCGTTGTGTCGATTTAGACACTGCACACTCCACTGTTGACATCATGGCTGACACGTTGGGTGACCGACGAAATCAACAGGTTTGTATGTGCTGATATATTTACTTGTTTGTTGTTGAACTATACCTTTAAGAGGTGTATAATTCCAATAACTCTTATTGATTGTGTTAAACGCTCTGAGCAGCTCCTCATTGAAGGGCCCAACAGTCTAAGAATATCTACCATGTACTGTACTTACCGAGATTGACATCACAGTATCGGTGATAACAGTAGCCGGGGCTTGTACAACTTCTGTAACTCTAATTTAGTTATGTGTACGTAGTTAGTGTAAATTACCCAACCAACATGACAAACATGTATGTATCAAGGTGGCAAGGAGGGGTGCGTCGTTTCCCCTATGGTTTGTANCCCCCCCCCCCCCCCCCCCCCCCCATACACACACACACACACACACACAGAGTTTTTTTTTCTAAATTTAGCTCCTAGCTAGATATTGCCTATTTCTGAGCAGCCACTGCTTTTGATCAGTAAAATATTAGCGCGATTTTCCTCTGGCCCTGACACCAGACTTACACATTTTGACAGATCTATCTGTCAAAATGTCCAAGTCTAGATCTGGTGTCAGGGCCAGAGAATCAACTCTGTAACAAGTTTCATATATGTGATATATATGTTTGTATGCAGATTTAGTATTAGATATAGAAGGTTCTATGTGTACAAGTACATATAACACTATGATTGTGACAATGTTTATTAATTATTATGAATAAAATATGCATTATAACTATATACATATAAAATACTATAACACCTAAACAGTATGATAATCTAAATGAGTGCTGCTACTGGTATTATGTAGGCCTGGGCCTATTTACACACACAGCTACCTAACACCCGATAACTCTCGAACTCTCCCTATGCGGCCGAGAACTCAGTAACTGCCATTCTCTCAACGCCCTGCAACAGCATGCTAGAAATACACATATACAGGTCACAATCATACGACCTGAACTAAATAATAGCTCACTGTTGACTACAGCCAATGTCTCACTTATATCTCATTACAGTGATAGTTCATGATCAGTACCCTATGGTACACCCTGTGAAACTCCCTGAATTCTAGCCTCAAAGACAGGGATATTTCAACCCAAGTGTAAGAGTTTGGCTGGTCAGCACGATGGTTGAGATATCCCTGTCCATGGAACAGACACATGTTTTATTGTTTTTCTCACATACTGACAAATAAATATCGATCTGATTCTTCTGCAAAAAACACAAATTGTATACAGGATAGCTGTCTTACCAATATGTAACAGGGGGCTGCCTCTCAGTCTGCTGTGATAGACCTGAACGATGTCGAGGAGATGCCAGACAGGGATGATTCATCGGACTATGACAGCAGCTTTTCAGGTGACATACCTAAATCATTAGTACACAATTTTATTTTTCTTGCATGATTTCATTGTCTAAAAATGTTGTAAAATGGCTTACTTACCTTTCTCGCAAACAGGAGTATGGCTCATAAGGAATGATAGCTAAAATGTAAATGCTTACATATTGTTTTTACCAAGTTTCGTATTTCTTTCACTCCTTCTGTCAGCTAGATGTTTGCCACTTTTTCAAATAATATCAGCCAGAATTTAATCAAACTTTAATTACATGATTGTTCATGAAGGGAAGGAGGCAGTGTGCTTATTATCTTTCATTTTTGGATCGGTCATTCAACATGACTGCTGAGGCTTCTGATTTGTCGAATTTAAATATTCACCAATACCATTCAAATTTGGTATGGATCAGTATAGTGGAAACACTACTTTCGATTGGTCAGCCAACATGGTTGCTGTGACCTCTGATTGGTCAAAATTTGAATATTGACGGATTTCGCTCAAATTTGGTATGTAGGTTTAGAACTAGACTTGGAACATTAATGCAACTTCCATTAATATCATTTACGACTGCTGGTTTTAGTTTTCGAGTTTTTTTGTAATGACTCTCATTTCAATCAGCACTTGTTTTGTCTACGGGTTAATATATACTGCATGTAGTGTACTATGAATTAACACCATTGCATAACAGTATATCTGTATTGTTAAATTTATAGGTACATATTCCTTATGTATCCTTTGCATAACGTTCTTACACTGACTTTCCGAAAGCTGTTATTAACCCAGTGAAAAGTATCACATTTTATCTAGCATATTGTGATGTAGTCCAAATTATTCTGTCGTTTTATCGACTTTTTTTATAATTCGGACTAGTTGTGATGAAGCTCAAAGGCATTGATACCGAAAAGAAAGATTATACATAACTTCATTCATTTGTAACTCAAAACATTGTCCTTTATAAAGTAAGGAACAATTAAATCATGTTGCAAAGGAATCGGCCTGATTGTGTTTTTCTATAATTTTCCCTGATTCTTACGATTTGCAACATTTGTATTGTACATGCTTTAGTTGAGTGTAATAGTACAAACTTATATATGAACTACCTAATATTTATTATCATTATATATGTAGACTCAGACAGAGGAAAGAAGAAGGGGATGGGAGATGACATCCGACAGAGATTGGGGGAAAATGTTGCTGCGATGGTAAGATTAATTAATATATGTTCGTTTCATACTTATATTAGAATCTGTCTAGTTCAAATTTTGAGTGAAAACCTTAGACATTGTATGTATCCATGTACTGTAATATACAATGTATACTGTTCGAATGGCATTGATTTTTATCGCCCCATAGATCAGGAAATATAGAGGAATAATAATTAAATTTAGAATGAAGGTGATAGATTATATAATGTGGTAAACAGGGATATTCTGTTCTAATACACCATATATTGAATGGAGAAACATAATGCATGATTTAAAGGTTAAAAGTAAAAATACTGCTCAATAATAGGTTTTAAGTTTTAATGGTCATTCTGGATATTGTATAAAGAGTTTTTTTTGACAGATGTGGCAGTCTGGTAAACAGCAGGCCAGTAAGGCATGGAATCTCTACGGCAACATAGATATCCTCCGACCCTACTTCAATGTAGAGCCTCGCGAAGTCAGGTCAAGGTCAGTCTACATCATGTTTTTAAACTTTGATAATGTCCCTAAACAAATAGATATCCTCCGACCCTACTTCAATGTAGAGCCTTGCGAAGTCAGGTCAAGGTCTGTCTACATCATGTCATTAAACTTTGATAATGTCCCTAAACAAATAGATATCCTCCGACCCTACTTCAATGTAGAGCCTCATGAAGTCAGGTCAAGGTCAGTCTACATCATGTCATTAAACTTTGATAATGTCCCTAAACAAATCTAAAAACTTCAAACAGCATTTATCATACTCCTGTGAAATTTCCTTGAATGGGTGAATTTTCCAAACTTCCAATGTCGTGTGATCTGATTGACTATAAAGTAGCCTGGACCCGACCTATCCAGATCTCTTTGATCTGTAAACGTGGAACATTACGCTAATTTACGCTTATTACGCGGAGCTGGATCGTCCTATTGTTTCGTCGATTGTGTTAGGAACAACAATTCTGGTAGATATTGGTTCATGTGTGTGTGGTGTCCTCCTGTAATATTGTTTTGTAATTGTATTACTAATTAACGAACATTGTCCAGTAATGTTATAAAATAAAAACAATAACAAATGAAATAAACTACATGTACTTGAAAAGTTGAATTTTTCAATCAACAAAAAAAATGAAAATATATATTAAGGCACAGAGATAGTCATAAATAAACCCGGGTGCATCAAAGTCTGGTACACATCACTCACACATGTGTCCTACGGGACACAACAGCTAGTAGTTGTGTGCGACGATCCTTACACAGCTAGTAAATGTGTACAACGATCCCTACACAGCTAGTAGTTGTGTGCGACGATCCTTACACAGCTAGTAGTTGTGTACAACGATCCCTACACAGCTAGTAGTTGTGTGCGACGATCCCTACACAGCTAGTAGTTGTGTACAACGATCCCTACACAGGTAATTGCCGTTTAGAGTAGTATAGTTTCATCACTGACAAGTTTATGGCATTTTATTACCCATTTGGCATGCAGAAGTTTAACAACTGACGTTTTCAGACAAATGTCCGATACCTTCCCGGGATTAGCAGCGATTTCGCGTTTCCAAATTTCTTTAAGACACACACATACACATGAATACAGTTCACCTTTTTTTTATCTGTCCAATGACCTGTAAGTACGCATACGTAACATGTTCTCAGTAGCTACTAGTATTTTTACCTGTAAGTAAGGGAGATTACTCTGCAGAGTTAACGTCAGTCTACCGCGACCATGTGAATTACCCCTGCACGTATAGTTTTGACCACCAAATCGCATAATTTTCACCCAGCGTAAATAACCACGATTACAGTAGATGAGTGTAAAAGTTAACAGGACGATTTATTCTGCTACATATTTGTGGTAGTAAGAAACTTAATGCTTTATTTGTTTATTTCAGTTTGTGTTCAATTATATTCACCAAAACTTGAAGGCAAATGAAATTTAAATAAAATTTTGTTTTATAAAGTTAATTGAAAAGTCCTGCAAATTTTAGTGCGAATTTAGATATCAGAAGGTTAACAGTTATTGAAAGTTTTCCTGTTTGGCAAATAAGGAGAAATTCTTACTTTATAGTTGAAACATGTATCTGGTTATACTAACTTAATTCACCAATTCAGATGTTGAAGATGTCTCTGTAGTTCACATTTTACATTCATCTTTTTCTATACTAAGGTTGATGTGGTCATTTATTCCCCAGAAGCCTACATCACAGAGGCAGGTAAGTACACCTGTAATACCTACATAACTGTACCCAGGTAGACACACAAAGTGTAGTGTAATAACTTACAAAGCAAAATGGTATTTTGTATGGACTAATAGAATCTCTCACCCCTTTGGGGGTAAGATAGGGGAATTTTAACCCGAGAGGGAAGATTCTTAAGTTGCCAAATAGGAGGCTTTGCCGAGTGTTTGGCAACTTGAGAATCTTTCCCCCTCGGGTTAAGATTCCCCTATCTCACCTTCAAGGGGGTGAATGATTTTTTTTCTCTTACCCTGTTCACCAATTGTGTACCATATACATAATGTAATGTTACAGGCTAATCTAAGAGTTGATGTGACTTTGATGGATTGTTAGCATGATCAACCCTAGGGTGAGACAAGGATATCTCACACCGGTAAAAGTGTTGATACACCTGTCCAGGGTAAGAGAATTACGGTATTACACGCCTCAATGTCTAAGGTCTTGCTTTTATTTCCAGAGAGTTTCCAGAGAGTTGTACGGGCCTCTAATGGTAATCTTTACCATGATTGCCTTACTCTTATTCCAAATGAAGACAGCAGACCATCGAGTGGTATGTTTATTATGTCATGTGTCGCTGTTTTAATATATTGTAAATATAACCGTGCTTAATATCATAATAATTCTACAAAACTAATCAAAGATTTTCATGTACATAAAACACATACTTTTATATTTGTGTGTGGAATCGATAGCAAGTGAATAAAGGCTGAAAGAGTATTTTAAATCCATAAAATAAATGGGGTGTTTCCATACAAAAGAGAGGTATCTTTAGAATTAGATAAGGAGGGGGTGTAAAATGACAATATTCTTACAAAAAATGCAGGTTTAGCAATAATATTAAACTTCCTTGTACCTGAAAATCAGGAAAAAGTCAGAAAAATCTTCCTGGCTCCACCTCTGCTGTACGTGAACCCTGTTGTATGTTTAATAGGAGGAGGGAACGTTGATGGGGACTGCCTTTGGAGTGTGCTTTACCTACTGGTTCGGGGCGTCTGCCTTTATTTGGTTCCTGTCATTTGTCTGCAATACTCGCCTCAGCATGCTTCAGATTATGTCCATGTTGGTAAGTTACTCTGTGATTCTGAGAGCTACTTCTGTCATTTCTCATATCATATAAATATTTTAATAAACTACTACCGAGATAATACAGAGTTATTTTTATTGTCACCGAATCTTGCACAACATATATATATATGAGAATATTATAAGAGCTAAAGGTAATAAAATAGAGAAATCTGTTATGGTAACTATCTATTGATGTTTAAGAGCCTGTGTTTCAGGTGTGTTTGACCTTTACTGTTACAGGGCTATGGGCTGTTTGGTCACTGCATGGTCATTCTCCTGGGTACTGTCATTCATACGTCACATGATCACGTTTTTTTCTACCTTTTATGGGCAGTAATTGGTGGCGCTACAACACTTAAAATGGTGGGTACTTTACAGAAAAAAATGTCAACTTTTACCACGTAAATATGGTTGCTACTTTTGCTGAAATCAGATGTATTTATCAGAGTTACAACTGACTGTTTTGTCAAGGACAGATTGTATTTCTATGCAACAAGATTTGCTTGGCTTTGAAGTAAATATTATAATATTCCCAACTCTTTTCACATAGAATTTTAGGCATTGTTGGGTCAATATAATTATTTTGTCATGTTTGTATTAATACAGGGTATAGGTAAGGTCAAAAATAATTAGTTTTAAAGATAGATTTCCATTATCCAAGGAGGAAGGTCCCACTTTTTCCCCATAAGGAACTTTAATTAGGTATGCAAATATGTAAGCATCTAAGCTGATAACTCAAACAAAGATATAACTTGAGATTAAATCACTCTACCATTGGACATATTTGTGTACTGGTATATCTGTGAAGGACCTGTGTTGTGTTTTAGGTTGGTATCATAGTGACAAGGACAAGTGGACAGACACAAAGAATCATCGTCTGTGCTGCAGTGGCTGCCCTACATCTGCTTTTCCTCCTCTATCTACACTTCGCTTACCATCAAATTGTGGAAGGTAAATATAACTTATACCAGTGTTTCACTTACCATCAAATCTTGAAAAGTAATTGATCATATTCATACCTTGCTTACTTCAAATCTTGGACATAACATTCATATATTTGATAAGGTACAAAGGTACATTTTAGAGACAGGTGGATTCTAGGTGCCAGTTGGGATATTTTTCATGCTCTCTTCATTACTGTTTCCTTTCTTTTATCATACCTATCTATGATATTTTTTTGGTTCATAACACAAAATGGTCGGTGTTATCACAACCTGTTAATTTAAACAATCTATGTGTATTAATTAACTGTATTTTGTAGTACTTCTTTAATGCAATTACATTCCAAGGGAGATGGCTCAATACAAGATTTAAAATCTTGTTGCCAGATCCTATTGCGATTTACCTGAGTGTGTACTTATTATATATGACAAATGAAATGAAATATTGTTTAAACCGATCTTGGACGGTAGATTATCAAATCTGTATTTTGCTACCATCAGGTTGTGAAATGCATAATCAAAACCATCTCAAAGTGGTTTTTTTTAGTTTTGATAGTCTTCTTCATAGGACCAATGGATACTTTTATTTTTACTTTTTCATGCTTCTATCTATCGAGTTAAACTGTGTGCATATTGTAGTTAAAAAAACAAACATTTATGGTGTTTAAATGTTTAACCAAACTAGATATGTGTGCATTTAAGCAGTATGAAGATGGTAATTAGAAGTTGATTTCTGTCTACAGATCTGTCACAGGCGTTCGGTAGTGGAGGTGTACAGGCACAGATGAAGGAGGTGCCAGTCGCCATTAAACCTGGAGTTGGGGGCTTAGAAAAAGCTGTGAAAGGTAATATGGCTACAGCGTCATTAATTATTAAATACCACAAGGTTTGCTAGATGTTTACTTGCGTGTGTTTGCTTGTCTAAATTTGATATATTCACCTTTTCCTCTATAACATCCTATTTGTTAATCTTAGCAGTCAGACCTGGCTCTGGTTTACATATTACATTTAATTTAACAGTTTCCCTTTTAACATCATACATTTTAAAATCTCCATGAATATTTTTTTTTTAACTGGGGCCAGGTACTCTGCGACATAACAAACGTAGTCTTTTCAAGTTAAGAACTAACACTTTGCTTCAACTAAACTTTTGTTCAAAAGCATTTTTCTTGAACTTGTGTCAGTAAAAGGAATCTTACTATTTGTGTGAAGGCTATTCCATAAATAAACAAGTGGAACGGCTAGGAATCACTTTTCAGAAGCCACACCACCCATACAGTTTCAAGTGGTAACCGTTAATAGTTTGCAAATTTTAGGAGCTACCACCAATCATTTATAAAAGAAAATTTGTTTCAGCCCTTTCATGTGTTTATTTCTGGAGTAGCCCTGAGTATTTTTGATCAATTTAACCCTAATTCTACATTGAACTTTTGTTACTTTGTGTCTGTGTGTCTCTCTTTTTCTACAACTAACATGATTTAATAATAACTGAAAATTCATTTCTCCATGAGACTAACCTCTGTAGTTCTTGCTATGAAATATCTTTCCACGATTTTTAACTTGGTAAAGAAACTCACTTTAGGAATCGATAACTCTCAGAAACAACAAACGTTTTGCCTTTATCCAATTTTCACAGAAATATATACTGACCACAAATTCAAAAGAGGAAAAAATGAAACCACAAAGACACTAGAAGCTTTACAATAAATAAAGGGTTGCTTTCATATATACTGTAGAATCATTTATTTTCGTAGGGTTAAAATTTCGTGGTTTTCATATACTAACCTGTTACAAGGACATTATATTTCACTGATTTCTGATTCGCCCCCTATTTATATCATACCAAATGTATGTTTTCGTGGGGATTTAACACTACTTTAACTGATTACCCTGTACATATCTGTCTGTGTGTACAGTAGGTTGTTACGACACATGACAGTACTCTGTGTTGGGTATCACATTGCAGATGTAACTAGGGCAGCTTTGGAAATGCACAGTGTGTCTAAACATGTCATCACTAAACCAAGTCTACAGGTCCTTATAAAACATGCTGCCAATCTAACTGGAAAAGTACACCAAGGTTTGACCTTTTCTCTTCCTTCTTTTGGGGTTATGTTGACTGTGGCACTAAATCATCAACACATTATCATGTAAAACATTTACTTATCATCTTCCATGATTATTGTGATATATTTTGCACTAATTGTGTTCTTAATCTAAAGACTTGTATTTTGGCAAAAATACACTTTTCTCTGAATTTTACTTCAAAATATTGGGATTGGAAAATATTTAATAACAATTTTCCCTGTATCCCTCTTTCAAATCAGAATTTTGAGTTAATTTTCAAAACCATCTAGAACCTATGCTTTGGCTGAAGATATTTGTATACAGTAAACCTTTTTTTACACTGCCATACTTTGTCCAGCAAAATTTTGGTATTATGAAGATGTTTGGGGATAGTAAAAGGAAAAACAATAAAGGAACGGTTAAAAAAAAAAAAAAAGACCTTGAAATATGTTGGCAGTAAGCGAGGGGGCAAATGAGGAGCATTTTAAAGAGGTTTTACTGTACAAGTCTTAATTTAGAGCTTCATATATAGCTTTCTGTGTGTCCCGAGAAGCATTCGTTTTCCTGTGTGTCTCCTGTGGATCTTTGTTGACTGTCTGTGGAATGTGGAGCTGTCAGTTCCCCCGTCTGTTTACCGATCTATACGTAGACCTTTGGACAATCTAGCCAGATGTGTTGATGTTTGTACTTGTTAGTCTGTCAATGCAAGTCTTGCATTTGTATTTAAAAGAATATGTGTTCTTTATTTATGATTTGTTTGCCTGGTTTCCATTTCCTCCCTCCCTTGTCATAAATCTGTACTCGCACATCTTCTGCCTATATATATAACAAATATAACACAGTACTGTGAATACATATATATATATATATAACACAGACTTGCTCATTTTGTCTTGCTTATACATAATATTAACCAAAATTGACATTAAGTGACAAGATATTAAGTTGAAGGTAAAGTAATGTATATTCAACAGACTACTTATAATTAAAAGCAGCAGTTAATTCTTTTATTTTACTAACAATGATCATATCGAGTAGTAAAGTTTTTCTGAATATTAGCTGCTGAAATTATAATAAAATGCCAGTAATAGAAATGCCAGATATCAGAATACTAATAATAGATTACAGACTGGTAATAGAATACTTATCTAGAAATGAATACCTGCAGTAATAGATATACATTTTGTGTTAATGTATGGAGGTCAAGTCATGCAATTATCCTAAATTCAATAATTAATAAAAAAATAATAATATTATAATCCTATGCAATTGTTTGATAATCCTATGTGATTGTTTCAGCTGCCATATGAAGACTTCCTGAACAGATGTTACTGTGATACTTTCCAAATCTACAAAAAAAACTCAGTATAGGAGCTTAAGACTTGTCTCAGACACCTCGAGTCACAAAGCCATACCACAAGTTGTAAATGCGTATACCTATGCAATCGGAGGAAAACTTTGTGTTTGGAAAGCAAAAATGAAACTTGTTGCTTTCTAAAATTCATCCATCAATATAATATATGACTGTAACCTATATAAAGGGGCAGTTTTGTGTAGATTAATATGTTTCTTATACATTGTGTAACCTCTAAAATTGACTTTAAGGACTGTAAAGGTACATACTGTAGAGGTAGTGGTATTATAATGATAACCACTGAAGATAAAACCCTGTTAAAGCTGTTAATGATGTGTGTGACTTGTATATTGTTGTTGGTGTACAGAAATACGAGTACACTGATACTGAGTACCAGGAAACGTTTGCCATTCACTCGTAAAATACTTAATTGCTGAATGCTCATTTTTCCTGCACATTTGATAACTATATATATGTGGTGTAGAATATACCGGTATACTGTGTGCTATTATTATTTATTATGATAAACTCACCCTTTTTACAAGAGGCAAAAGTTACACTGCGGTGAAAATTTCCTGGTAAACAGCAAGTAAATTTACAGTGTACAGGTAGGAAATTGCCTGTATATTGACTCCCAAATAATAACCTTAATTTTTGTGTAAAGACAATTTCAATATTAAAAAATCTCGTTTTGTAAATATATATCCAAGACAATCAGAAGATATCTGTGAGGTAAAGCTGGAGGTCAGTAAGTCACTGTAAACTGAGACCTTCAAACCATCAGGACATCAGATGATCTTTTCCTTGTACGTGTATCATGTTTTAAAAGTTTAACCTATGGTAAAGAGATAGTTGTGATGGGTTTTTTGCTTGAAGGAACTGGGTTATCTCCCTGGAGACCAGACAGCTTTGTTTTGTATACCTAGGTTTTGACAACAACTGTTTAAATGTTTGTAACAGCATGATTTAACTGGAGAATTTAACAAATGCATCAGGACTTACAGTAATGTAGTATTTGATCTCTATACATATAATGTATGTTTACTTTATTTTTAAATTATTTCTTGACATGTACAATACAAATATTGAGTAAACTAAATACTGGTGATGAACATCTGTATAGTGTGGGACAATGTGGTATAGTCTAAAGTCATCCAACAGCTCTGCTCTGTTTAGGATCATTGGTCATTATTATAATTTGTGGTTTTATTTGCTTTTTTAACTGTTAAGCATTCTTCAGACTGTAAAATGTTGCTGTCATAGACAGAATTGAAATAAAAAAATATATACTTGTAAATAAAAAAGAAACAAAAGCATGTTACAGATCAAGCTTATTATTTTGATAAAAACCATACATTAAACCGTAATTTTTTTAAAACATTCTGTACATCCGATCCAAATTGATGTGAAAGGTAGGTCATTTATATATATTTTGTAACAGGAGAAAAAGAAATGCAACAGCCAGATCCGGGTTTGAACCTGGGACCCTCCCAACTCTAGACGGACAGTCTACTTATTCCGTCTTTGCGTATTGCAGAGTTATCTTCTCTTGAGAGCAGTTATTGATTGTTACGTCATTTGTTTTTTCTCACATAAACCAATGACGTAACAATCAATACCTGCTCTCAAGAGAAGATAACTCTGCAATACGCAAAGACGGAATTGAGCTATCTGGTCACTGACAATCGACCCAGTCCAGTTCCACTACAATTTTATCAAAGTTGATTGCACGTCACCTTGGCTACAGGACAAATAACACTGATTACTTTTGATTCTGTAGAAGTTATTTGAACTTTTAACAATTTTGACATATGTAACCTTAAATTGGGTCAAGGTAATTTGTTTCACCCAATCAAATTACAGAAATTGACATGTCATGCTTATGTAGAAGCTGTTCTAATGTTAACATGTCATATGAATCCAATTGAAGTTAATTTATTTAACACTGAATTAACACCTGGTGTTAGAATTACCTTTTTCTACAGGACGAGCTAGGTTTATTGATGTTTGTCCTCTTGATTACTTAGGTCATTCAAATTTGTTCAAAATGTACAATAACATTGACTTACTTTTAAGGCCTAACATTGACTTAGACTTAGAACACATTTTATTGATCCCCGTTACTTTGAGTATGGATATAAATCATTTGAACAAACTTCATCACACATCAAGCTGCAGGTATGTTGTCATCATTTGAGACACGTGATCGAATCTCTAGAAAACATGTTTAGGTTTTTAACTGTAGTTAACCCGTGCAACAGGAAAAGTGGTTCAAAGCAATAGTTATTTAAGGAATGACCTTCATTTTGACGGTGTATAAGGTAGTATGAATGCAGTTGGCAAAGAACATATTCTATGGTGCACGTTAGCACTCCATAAAGCGTTCATACTACCGTATACGCCGTCAAAATGAAGGTCATTCCTTATCCTTATATTTACATTCAAAAATTGTTTAAAATGCTACATTACGAAGAAAAAAAGTCGAAGCGGGTTGCCACGATGGTGACTACGGTAGCCGTGGTTACTAGGACAATATTGTTCTAGTGAATCTACATTGATAGTTGAGTAAATTTAGAAAATACACAGTGAACAATTTTTGTTCAAGCAATATTAGAAGCCTTTCAAAATTTTCTATTCATTTACAACGGTCGTCATGTACGCACATTGACGCACTGCTCATGGAGTGATGCGGTCGAATGTTTCAGAACAAAGCTGCCATTGTTGATGTTACAGCCAAAGAAATTTGAATGTGAATCCATGGAATAGGAAGTTTGTCGGCATTATTTTGTTGTATAATTAGACATAATGGATCCCAAATATGTACCATATATCTAGATGTTGAATGAACCAAGCATTGGTTGTCATTGGACTGTTATCTTGCTGAAGCATGAACAGCGCCATATTTGGAAAAAGTATAGATCCGCTGAGCCTTTTTTAATTGTGTATACGCTAATTTATACCCAGTCAGAATCTACTAAGCTGAAGAAGGGAGACATGTAAGTATTTAAATGTGAAGATTTATGAAGGACCGAGGAATGATTGACAGGCCATCATGACCTAACTTTATTCTGTGGTTCATCAGAATTACTAAGTTTGTCAAGTAGCAAAAGGAAATTTCCCACTAGGTATCAATGAGACCTGGTTTGGTACAGCAGTAACAGAATTACCTTACACCTTGACCTAGTTTGGTATAGTAGTAACACAATTATTATTCCACCTTGATCTAGTTTGTCATAGTGATAAACAGAATGACCTTCAATGTTGACCTAGTTTGGTATAGTACTGACAGTGACCTTAACCTAGTTTGGGATAGTATAAACAGAATGAAATTTCACCTTAACCTAGTTTTGTATAGTAGTAGCAGAATGACCTTTCACCTTGACCTAGTTTGGTATATTGAGTAACAGAATGACATTTCACCTTAACCTAGTTTGGTATAGTAGTAACAGAATGACATTTCACCTTGACCTAGTCTGGTATAGTAGTAACAGAATGACATTTCACCTTGACCTAGTCTGGTATAGTAGTAACAGAATGACATTTCACCTTTACCTAGTTTGGTATAGTAGTAAGTGACATTTCACCTCGACCTAGTTTGGTATAGTAGAGACAATGACCTTTACCTTTACCTAGTTTGGTATAGTAGTAACAGAATGACATTTCACCTTGACCTAGTTTGGTATATGTAGTAACAGAATGACTTATCACCTTGACCTTGTTTGGTTTAGTAGAGACAATGACCTTTTACCTTTACCTAGTTTGGTATAGTAGTAACAGAATGACATTTCACCTTGACCTAGTTTGGTATATGTAGTAACAGAATGACATTTCACTTGACCTAGTTTGGTATATGTAGTAACAGAGCGACTTATCACCTTGACCTAGTTTAGTATAGTAGTATTACAGATATATGCATCATATTAAATAACATTAAAAATTAGTTAACTGATTTACTCCAAACATGAAAAACTGCTTTTAAGGAATATCGTAATACAGTTATCAGTAATGCTTTTTTTAGCTCAATATAGGAATTTGATTTGATTCCTAGAAATATAGAAACATCATTTTTATTTAATACAAGAGGCCCATATCGCTCACCTGGATATCTAAGCAATCATGGCAGAATATTCTCCAAATGAGATCCAAGGGAATATGCCAGACCCCAAGGCCAATCCTTGTAGCATATATATCTGTATTCAATTTTTCATGCCCAGCAATTTTATGTATGGTTATGGGGTGGGGATCTCAACTGTTTCCAAGCTGTGACGCAGAAACTAGGTCCCTACGGTTGTGGCCAGACCCCAGGATCAATTCTAATATCATGACTGCATTTGTCTCTTTTTGCCCAGCATTTGTATATATAGTTTTGGGGTGGGGATTTCAACCGTTTCAAAGTTATGACCCAGGGGTTAAGTCTGCAAGGGTGGGGCAAACCCTGGGGTCAATTCTAATATCATGACTGCATTTGTCTCTTTATGCCCAACAATTGTATATATAGTTTTGGGGTGGGGATCTTAACCATTTCAAAGTTATGACCCAGGGGTTAAGTCTCCAAGGGTGGGGCAGTCCCCAAGGCCATCCTGGAAGCATATGTGCATTCATCTCTTTGTAATCGGCAATTGTCTATATGGTTATAGGGTGGGGATCTCAACTGTTTCCAAGCTGTGACTAAGAAACTAGGTCCCTAGGGGTTCGGTCAGACCCCAGGGTCTATTCTAATATTGTGACTGCATTCGTCTCTTTATGCCCAGCATTTGTATATATAGTTTTTGAGTGGGGATCTCAGCCGTTTTAAAGTTATGGCCCAAGGACTATGTTTCCAAGGGTGGGGCCAGACCCTAGGGCCATCCTGGAAGCAAATGTGCATTCTTCTCTTTATACTCAGCAATTGTATATGTGGTTATATGGTGGGGATCTCAACCATTTCCAGGCAATAAACTTTTTTTGGTCCCACCCCTTAGCCCGGGGGGTCAGCCCCACCATTTGTACAATTTTGAATCCCTGCCTCCCATGAATGCTTTTGATTAAATATGATTGATATCCAGTGCATAGTTCTACAGAAGAAGTCGTTTATAGCAATCTAGCCAAATTGCCCCCTTTTTGGCCCCGCCCCTCAGCCCCCTGGGGGGTCAGCCCAACCATTTGTACAATTTTGAATCTCCACCACCTAGGGATGCTTCCAGGCAAATATGGTTGATATCCATCTCTTAGTTCCAGAGAAGAAGTCGCTTAAAGCAATATAGCCAAATTGCCCCCTTTTTGCCCCGCCCCTCAGCCCCCTGGGGGGTCAGCCCCACCATTTGTACAATTTTGATTCCCCACCACCTAAGGATGCTTCCAGTCAAATTTAGTTAAATTCCAATCAGTGGTTAAGAAGAAGAAGTCGTTTAAAGAAATTGTTGACGGACGGACGACGGACGGACGGACGACGGACGCCACGGTATGGCATAAGCTCACCTTGGTCCTTTGGACCAGGTGAGCTAATAAAAGCATCAAACATCCAAATGGAGGATGCCACCATTCTCATACACACCACACAAAGTCAATCATTGTGGACAGTGTCATAGAAACAAGTCATTTATTGACGAAGAAACAAAACATACATAACATGCAACACATACAGAATTTATAATAAGAATCAACACTATAACTTCAGAAACAACCAATTGGTACAGAAACTTGTAAATCAGAGAAACAATACATGAGATGATGAAAACATTGGTCATCGTAATAACTAACAAAGTATAAAATCAAAGTTAGATCTTACAATATGTTCATGGAGGAAAGGAACCATCAGAATAGACGGAAGTTATGTGCTTGCTAACCTTTCAAATTTCTCACGGAAGAGCAAGTGCCTGGCAAATGATTCAGCTGTATCTTTGTTATCTAAACTAGACAAAAGTTTAAATATTTCTGCTAATTTGAGACCATAGTGGCCATTGAAGTGAAAAGATCAAAATATTCCCTTTACTCGTCATACTAAGAATTATCTTTACAAATAAGCTGCCCATTCCCCTTTTTCAGGCCTTTATTTAATGATCCTACAGTTGAGGGATGATAAATACAAACTTGGCCAAATTCTCTAGTCATTACAGACAAATAAATAGTCTTTTAAAAAGAAAATGGATAATGGACGCTGTGCCATGACAAGCTCAATTATCACTTCATATCAGATTAGCTAAAATGTCATATATTTTTTTTAAATCCTGTCGACAACAGAAAGAGTAATAAATTCCATAATTTTAATTTTTCTATGCAATAGGTTAATTGCAATTCAGGTATTCTGCTGATTTCAAAGTCAGACATGAGAATGATAAATGGGAGTCTACTTTTAAAACTTTGGAGACTCGGTGGGTATGAGTTAAAGGCGTCGGGTACTACATAAGTTTTAATCATGGAGAAGAGTTCCACTTGGAGAGTTTTTATTTTACTCCTAAGTTTGGCTCTTATTTTAATGCTGTATATCAATAATTCCTGAATATATAGCATGCGGCATTGATAGAGTGTAGCAGTGGCAGTGTAAAAGACTTCAACATTTCAAAATAGTGACAATGGTAAACTATATATTTGAACCTGATTGTACCTTTACCTTAAGATGCTGTTTGTGTATTAATCTCATTTAACTATAATTATATAAAGACATGCAGCAAAACAAGGACACTTTAACAAGTTTTATACAAAAACAATAATATAAAGATGTATACAAGTACTTAATATGTATCCTACAAAAATGATCATATTAAATGTATGGAAGGAATCTCAACACGAAGCTTAGTTATACAGAGGAACGGAGGGACAGGGTGATTGTTTGATCAGACTTCCACAGCTTCTGATCATCACAACACTATACACGACGTGTGTTCACGCTGTCGGTCACATCACAGTACAATCTATTATTACACCATCATAAAACCATGTCATCGCGAACGTGATGACAACTGATCAATATATATAAATGAAGACAAGTACATTTATATAAATATCATATTGTATACAGGGACATAAAGAACAGAAAGACAAAAGCAGATAAAATCACTTTTTTCATCCTTTACATTCTCACACAACTGTTGTCTTAAAAACTAAACAATTTTTCAATTTCCATTTGAATTGGCATAGGTGGAGTACAAAAATAATCTAAATATTTTAAAGACTACTTTACTGATATGACTAGACTATTGTAGCTGGTTGTTAACCCACATCACATCATGAGCTAACTGCATGTTTAATCACACTTACTTCTCCTCATAGTTATCTCAACTTGGGGAAAATATCAGGATTAAATTTTACAATAGTCATCAAACATAAACAAAACATCTAAACATCTGTCACCCTCCAAAAAAACATTGGTTTTAAGGGGCGTGGGTGATATTGCCACGAGACAATGAAAAATATCACATGCGCGAAAAACGTGCGTTAACCGCTTCGTCTCCTCACCGTGATGGTCACAAGAACGTTTGTCATTATCAAGGTTTGCTGCCGTTTCTGAGCTACAAAGACTTTTTGTGTAACAAAATAGATATAACATTCATTAGCAGATGACAGTGAATATTGTCAACCCTCAAAAACCCATTGTCACCCTCCGCTTGCCTCGGGTGACAATAGTTTTCTCGGGTTGACAATATTCACTGTCACCTGCTATTGAATGTCATTTATATATTGTTACGTCAATCTCAGACTTCAGCTTTTTGGCATTTGCCAAACATTAATTACAGTCCCACAGTTAAAGTGTTTACTGTTATTGATCACTTTACAAGACCATTGTATGTTACAAGCCCAGAATTTGTTTGTTTGTTTGTTTATGTTAAACGGCCCATCGACGGCTGTGGTCATTTAGGGCCATGGAGATTTATTTATTTATTTTATTTTTTTAACAAACATGTGAGTAGCGAAGATAAAATCAGATAAAATGGTTCATTTTAAAAGCATTCGCATTGTATGTGTAGATAATAAAAAATAGAAAAGGGGGTTAAAATAATAAAAGAGATAACGAATAGATGATATGGAATATGTGATATATATATAACGTCAAAAAGGGTAAGGTGGGTTAAAATACATCAGAGTCTATAAAAAAGACTGATGTCTTTCAAATAGTTAAATAATGCCTTTGAATCCACGGAACTGAAAAGTGTTTTCATATCCGGGACTCAAAAGTAGTTATCATGAATGTGTTTAAAATCAGAACATTCTATTAAAAAATGTTCCACTGTAAATGGAGTGTCACATGCGTGGCATGAAGGTATATCTTCAAGCCCAGAAGGACGTATTGCTATAATATATATTGTAATCAAGCTCAAAGCAACATTATGCACATTTCTATAACATTGAAATAATGGTTAAAGCTCTTTAAAGAAACTGTAAAAACTAAGTGTACTGCTTGAGGACAGTGGTCTCTCCACATCATCATAACATATTGTTTGATTTCTAGCTATCGTTGTGATCAAGTAAATGTGTTTGAGGACATTATAGCAGGGACCTCCCCGAAAATAATTTGAGCACCTGGCACACAGCATCCTCTATACTCCAGGGGTTACGCTAACAAGGTCAGTAAACCTTTCAGGTTTTTAGCCAGGCCAGATCTCCAATATATGGTGTGTTTTTTAAACATCATTATGTATTAGTCCAGATAGACAATATACCCTCCAATTTAATTCTTGCAATTATACATTTGGAAAAACTTCCATCAAATGTTTACATCACAATATTTTTGGCTAGAGGCATCATCAGAAATCAAAATAATTTAGGACGGAAAGACAAAAACTTTCACAAATACAAACCCAAAGGTGTGAACAGGTTTGAGGCCCTCCTTAAGATCATCCTGTACACCATGATTACATCTGCATCCTTGAAAGTGGTAAGAAAATAAGTTGATATATTTCTTTCATTAATATTTCCTCATATTTTCAAAAAAACAAACCTTTCCGACTAGCCACCCAAAAGGTATTTGACCTTTCAAATGATGAAAATCTTTCCCCCAGGGCACACCAACTCTCGGCCCCAAAATTAAAGTATAAACTTTTCTTATTTTTATACCAATATTGTGAAAACGGTTACTTTACCATTATTGAGCATTTTTATACCAAAATTGAGAAAAACGGAAGACAAAATTAACACTATCATTCACATATAATTATCACATATTCTATTAAAATATTGAAAGAAAGTTTAAAAACAAGCTTATAGACAAATGAAAGAGCTTGTAAAATAAAGCTATGTACAAAAGACTAGGAAATATAAAGAGAGGATGAAAATAGCATGATAGTAAAGTGTCTGCGTAGGACTTAAGTTACGGTGGTTGTAGGAGCGAGGTATCTATACTAGTTGAGCATGAGCACTACCCGAAACGCAATAGACAATACAATACAAAATAATCTAAAATGTGACAAGGTGTGTACAGGATAAAATACATCTGTATGATGATACTGATATAATTACATGTATTATAAAAATAAATTATTTTTTGTAAAATGTTTGTTAATAAATACTGCTGTTATGTATAAGCAGTATTTGTAAACTGAAGCAGTCTCAGAATATTTTAATACACCCATGTATTCCATTGATTGCAGTAATCCACCTATAATCATTGTCGTCTTTATCTACTTACACCTATATCAAACTTAACATAAACACAGTGTCCGTATATATATACCAAAATCTGTCAGCATCTGTAACACACTTCCCAAATCATGTATATTCTGTTTTGTGATACTTTCTGTGGTCAGTCTCGGAGCAACACTGAACATGTGTATAAGGAGACAGGTAAATCTAACAAATACAGGATGTTTAAAGCTTACCGCTACAACTAACAGTGTCCTTCTGTCTATTTATACAACCTCAAACCATCCAATTGTGCTATTATCGTAATCATTGTTTTCCTCGATTTGAAAGAAGATTCCATCAGAGTATTTTACGATCTATCTCCATGATTTAGCATAGACAACAATATAATCACCCTATAACAAGCTTTCAAATCAACAGAAAAGAAATTCTCGAACTTTACACAAATGTGATATCTCCCATGACCAAACTGATAATCATTTTTTGAATACATTGTATATATCATATAAGCTGTTTCTTCTTTCACTGTACTTTCCTTCATATTTCGCTCTCAAAGACTATGTATATCAATTAATAAGAAAAATAGTTTATCTACACTTCATGTAAGTGTATATAATTTAAACAATATGATTTTTGTAGATATGCAACAATCGCAGAGGGCTAAATCAGATAGTTTAGGTATATAATATACATGTTTGTATGATCAGGCAAAACACAAAATTACCAAAACCTGCTTCATACAAAGCAAATGAAATTCAGTGGATTTATCAACACAGTTCAAACAATCATACACACAAATATGTTTCCATGTTAAGTGTGGAGAACTTAGCTATATGTCAAACTGTGTTATAGCATATATAACCACACACATCCTCTTATAATCTAGCCCTACCCATATAACACAACAACACATCCTCTTATAATCTAGCCCTACCCATATAACACAACAACACATTCTCTTATAATCTAGCCCTACCCATATAACACAACAACACATTCTCTTATAATCTAGCCCTACCCATATAACACAACAACACATTCTCTTATAATCTAGCCCTACCCATATAACACAACAACACATTCTCTTATAATCTAGCCCTACCCATATAACACAACAACACATTCTCTTATAATCTAGCCCTACCCATATAACACAACAACACATTCTCTTATAATCTAGCCCTACCCATATAACACAACAACACATTCTCTTATAATCTAGCCCTACCCATATAACACAACAACACATTCTCTTATAATCTAGCCCTACCCATATAACACAACAACACATTCTCACGTATCCATGGGGTACAGCTACACATGTACACACATGCATATTTCAATTTTCATTAGATGACAACATTATATGAGTTGAGTTTGTTTTGTACAATTAAAATATATGGGAAGGACAGCAACTTTGAAATTAGTTCAAGGAAGCAGAAAATGATAGCCTCCTGGCCCCAGTATCATGAAACAATCTTAGACCCAAGTTTTCGCTTAGCCAGTCACATATGATGTCACTTTTTATGACACTATTTGTAATTCGCTAGGTCAAATTTTAAGACAATTTTAGGCTTAAGACTGTTTTATGATCCTGGGGCCCGGTTAGGATCCAGGGCATTATCGAAGAAACCCTATGTCAAGATCCCGAGACATTTGAATCCTGAAAAATTGCAAATGATCATAAATACAATATTTTGAAAACCGTTAATTGGATAGGGATGAGGAGACCACCTAGCCTAAATATTTAACACTCCATATCTCCTTATCCCTGAGGTGTAACACCCTCGACCACCAGACAATTTTACAAGCAGTAAGTGATGGTACATGATTGTACATTTTCTTGAATATATATACAGATATGTTTAAAACTCGGAGAAGGTATCACAAAAGATGTACTCCGTGACAGCAAATTCAATTCCCCTCTGCAAAATCAAAATATATTTTAAAACACAAGAAAAAAACATAATCTGATATTTTTTTTGCTTCTTGTAGACAAGAAAACAGCAATAATAACACACACAAATGTGTCTCAGTGGATATTGAACACCCTTTTACTTGGGGAGGCCCCCTACACCTTCACCCTCCTTAAACACCACACAACTGTGTGTAACACGACACAGACATAGCTATACAACCCTAAAGCAATATTGTAGGTTCATTTTACCAGGGAAATAACTGTACAAAATGTCCTGTCTTAAACACTTGAGGAATTCTGAAGGAAGGTGTGAAGTCGATGAGTTTGTGAAGTCGATGAGTTTGTGAAGTCCATGAGTTTGTGAAGTCCATGAGTTGGTGAAGTCCATGAGTTGGTGAAGTCGATGAGTTGGTGAAGTCGATGAGTTTGCGAAGTCCATGAGTCTGTGAAGTCCATGAGTTTGTGAAGTTGATGAATTTGTGAACTAATTAACAGTGGACACAAGGATTTCATTTCACACAATTGTATGTATTCACAACAATGATCAAATCATCTGGAGTCGTGTTTTCTCTGTTAATGTCATGCATGACATACAATATTAATTTCTCTGCAGTTATTTTGATTTACAGCATGTATGAAATATTAAAGAATGTTTGTAAACAATCCTAGAATAATAAAAAAATAATAGCATTAAAAACATGAGAGATGAATTTGTTCCATTAGGCTATACATGTATTACATCTTTACCAGAGGCTCATTTTAATGTAAACTTGGAATATATTAAAACACCCTGTTTCATAAACACCATATGTTGCTCTAGGGACCAGAAACTGGTTTTGTTGATGCCTTATAGTATGACAGGAAAGAACAAAGAGTAAACAATATAATCTGTATATTGAAGTGATTATAAAACAGGAACAGTGATTCTCCAGTGGGACTCACCTATATTTTGAGAAGCCACTACTATATACCCTGGTGGCATGATATTTTTGCCACAGCTTATAATCATTCCCCTTTTTTTGCCCTCCATAATGAAGACAAATTTGTCATTACAGTGAACATAGTAAACAACATGACAGACATTGTTATCAAATGTACAGGGTGAAATTAGCACTGGGCGAAAACGGATTTTCCCAGCGTAGGGCGAAACTTTTCGGTATAAAGTATGTATCTCCTATAAGAATGGGACAATTTGAAACAGATGTTCCAGGATCTACCTTAAAAAATCCTAGTACAGGAATTATTGACGAAACACAGATATCCAAAAGTGATCAGTTTCACACTGACAATAAGGTTAAAGTTTCAACTTTAAAGTTTTTGAAATAACATCCTGAAATGATATATCACATCGCTGAGTATATATACTGGAATCTGAAATCACATAGAATTGTGAAAACAATCTCTGATCAGTGAATCTGTTTTTAGAGGAAACATATGATCAATATATTACCTGCATGAAAGCTGCATTACATTTGGAAATTTAATCTAATTCAAAATCACCATCTTGTGGTAGTTGGTCATACTCCACATCGTTGTAAGATGGAAGGAGTCTTCGCCGCGTCGACTCCTCTGTAGTACCGTAGGACATGCCATCCAGCTCTATACTGTCCTCACTGCGTAAAGGCATAAATCCGTTCTGTGAGACAGACATCTTGCTGCACTTGGATGCCAATAGCTGCATTACTATAAACAGCACTGTACAGAACACACTCAGTATCAACACAACATACATCAGGTACATTTTGTTTATCTTTTCAAAAGTATATCCTGTAGCTACAGGAATGATCATCTGACCGAGTGCAGAGCCAGTTACTAGCACTGCAGTGGACTTCCCGGTCATTCGGAAATACTGTTCTGTCCAGGCCAGTCCTGTGGGGAAAATGGACGACATCCCCAGTCCGAGGAATAATGTCCCCAGCCAGAGAATAAAACTGTACTTTTGAACAAAAAAACTTAACATTGTGGCCCCACCTATGACGAGAAAGAGATCAATTATTAACATGCAGTGTGGTTTACAACATCCAGCTATGAAGATAGAAAATCCCCGCCCAGCAGCCAGGGAGCCCCAGAAAATGGCAGTCACAATGGCTCCCTGATTCTTATTCCAATCCATGTACTCCACAGTAAAGGTCATGATGAGACCACCATAGGTCGTCTCCATGCCAATATAAGACAGGAAGAACAGAAACATGACAAGGAGGATGACAAGTCGTACACACGTGTTCTGGACATAGTCCTCCTTCTCCCTCTGAGCTATGAGATCAAGGTCGCCCTTCTTCTTGTCGTAACAGAACAGAATCAGGAAGATGACAGCATTCACCAGTAAAAGTGCCGCTATGATGGTATAGGAGAACTGAATCTTTGACATGTTCTTAACAGACTGGACCATAGTGTTAAACATATCCCCAACTGTCTGAGGTTTTACGGCTGTGCTTGTCTCCATGGTTACAGTAGTGATGTCTGTGACATCTGATTGGTTGACAGCAGTAGATGTTTCCTGAACGTCATCAATATTCAAAAGGCTTTTATTCACGCCAGCACAAAGCAAACAATCAGCTATATCAATGGGAAGAGTTGTGGGTTTAGGGGTTGCAGTAGTTGGTTTAGGAGTTGTAGTAGTTGGTTTTGAAGTTGTTGTAGTTGATTTAGGAGTTGTAGTAGTTGGTTTTGGAGTTGTTGTAGTTGGTTTAGGAGTTGTAGTAGTTGGTTTTGGAGTTGTTGTAGTTGGTTTCGGAGTTGTTGTAGTTGGTTTTGGAGTTGTGGTAGTTGCTTTGAGAATTGAAGTAGTTGTTGTAGCTTGATTTGGTGGTGTAGAAAGTGGAAGGGTAGAGATTGTTGAAATGATTGGTGTAGATTTATCGTTGGTATTATCAACAGATGTACCGTTGAAACTATCATTTAAAGCATTCCCAGAACCCTGACTCACCGTAGTCGGAGTCAAGGTGATGCTTGACTTCTTTGAGTCTGGAGATGACATAGGTGGGACAGGTGGGGCCGCTTTATCACTATCAGTCATATCATCCTTGTTCTTTGCACATCCGCCATCAGCGCAACCTGGTGCAAGAGGTAGATCATTAGCACTTGGCTTCCTGATCTTCACAGTTGTGGTAGTAGGGGCCAGAGTTGTCACACTATCATTACTTTCCATGGACACAGGAGGAGAAGTACTGGTTTTCAGGGACGTCACGAAACTTGAAGAATCATTTAAAGATTTTGTCAGATTTTGACCACTTTTTAAATCTTCACGTTTGATCCTTAAAGATGAACCGTTGTTTATCAGTAGTCTCAATATTTGGCTACCATCTGTGATAGGGTTTGTACTAGAAGTGTTGGCTAGTGAAACTTCATGGAGAAAAGGCTGGGACAACAGTGGTGCAATAAAAGCTCCAATTCCAAAAGCAAAGTGCATGACCTGTATATATGGTGAGCTCCTCTTGCCCCAGATTCTCACACACAGAGCATTCCCACCTGATGATGATAAAAGAAAGCTATTATTACAGATTAAGGAAAGTTGTTATTACACACATAGACATGCTCCCATAACATGTTCAGGAAAACTATTAATGCATGTTAAGAGAGCAAGAAGCTGTAGACAAGTACACGCATCATGACCTCAGGCCTTATGGTTTTGCAAAGAAATTGTTTAAAAGAAAGCTGACATTAGAAAGCGACATACCATCACTTAAGTTTACAGGCACTTTGGCCTAGTGAGTTAAAAGGCAGACCATCAACTTTTGTTCTCTTTAAAACAAATCCTCTATAGCAAAGAAACAAGAGGCCCATGGGCCTTAATGGTCACCAGAGTCCTACAGTATTTATTTTTTGTGGTTGAAATATGTACCAATTTGAGTAAAAAATAGTTAAGTATAACGTTAACTTAAGTTTGAGCTGATCATTCCTAGACAGAGTTTCAGTTAGATCGGCCTATTAGAACTTGCTTTTAAGTTTGAAATAGTTATTTTCAAAAAAGCGGCCGCAGCCAAATTGTATTTCTGATCGACCCGAAAAATAACAACACATTTTCAGGACAATAAGTTGATCATTCCTACCAAGTTTCAGATCAATCGGCCCAGCAGAATTTGACTATAAGTTTGAAATAGTTTTTTCAAAATGGCAGCAGTGGCGGCCATATTGGATTTCTGATAGACCCGAAAAAAAACCCCACTTTGTCAGGACCAGGAGTTGATCATTCCTAGCAAGTTTCAGTTCAATCGGCCCAGCAGAACTTGACTATAAGTTTGAAATAGTTTTTCAAAATGGCGGCTGTGGCGGCCATATTAGATTTCTGATCGACCCGAAAAATAATAACACTTGGTCAGGGTGATGTCGGTAACCTTCCCATGAAATATTAATGAAATCCCTTTGCCAGTATTTCAGCTTAAGTTGAAAATGTAAAATGTTAACCGACGACAACGACGAACGACAACGGACGAAGACGGATAGTAATAGGTCACTTGAGCTAAAGCTCAGGTAACCTAAAAATAAAGCATCATGGTGATTGAGTTTAACGCCTGATATTGAATACATAATTAATAGTATTAACAGGAGAAAGTGATACATACAGCATTTCAGCAGTTTATATAGCTGGTGGTCTAGTGCTGTGTCAGCAATATATAAAGCTGGTGGTCTAGTGCTGTGTCAGTAGTACTATATATACCTGGTAGTTTAGTATTGTGTCAGCAGTACATATAGCTGGTGGTCAAGTATCGTGTCAGCAGTATATATAGCTTGTAGTCTAGTATTGTGTCAGCAGTATATATAGCTGCTAGTCTAGTATTGTGTCAGCAGTATATATAGCTGCTAGTCTTGTATTGTGTCAGCAGTATATATACCTGGTGTTCTTGTATTGTGTCAGCAGTATATATATATATAGCTGCTTGTCTTGTATTGTGTCAGCAGTATATATACCTGGTGGTCTAGTATTGTGTCAGCAGTATATATAGCTGCTAGTCTAGTATTGTGTCAGCAGTATATATACCTGGGGGTCTAGTATTGTGTCAGCAGTATATACCTTGTGGTCTTGTATTGTGTCAGCAGTATATATACCTGGTGATCTTGTATTGTGTCAGCAGTATGTATACCTGGTGGTCTTGTATTGTGTCAGCAGTATATACCTTGTGGTCTTGTATTGTGTCAGCAGTATATATACCTGGTGGTCTTGTATTGTGTCAGCAGTATATATACCTGGTGGTCTAGTATTGTGTCAGTAGTATATACCTGCTAGTCTAGTATTGTGTCAGCAGTATATATACCTGGTGGTCTAGTAGTGTTTCAGCAGTATATACCTGGTGGTCTTGTATTGTGTCAGCAGTATATACCTTGTGGGCTTGTATTGTGTCAGCAGTATATATACCTGGTGGTCTACTATTGTGTCAGTAGTATATACCTGCTAGTCTAGCATTGTGTCAGCAGTATATATACCTGGTGGTCTAGTATTGTGTCAGCAGTATATACCTGGTGGTCTTGTATTGTGTCAGCAGTATGTATAGCTGGTCAGTATATATACAGTGAAACCTCACTTACTCAACTCGCATATCCCAAATACTCCCTATTTCTCAAATAGTTTGCTCGGTCCCGACCATGTTCTTTTATATTCTTTTTAAATTAACCTCAAATTACTTGAACAGCTATTGCTGGAATACCCTTTTTCCTCGAATGCTGATTTATCCTAGACCTTTCAAAACCTTAGTATTGTACCTATCCATTCTTCGAACAGGTAGACACACCAGAATGCCGCATGATATCAACATGCCTCAAGGCATAGGCTGCGGTTCACGCTCATTGTACAGGTGTCTGCCATATGTCAGATAATTAGCGGAATAACAGCAGTATCCTTAGGTTACGGTGCTCTTACCCTGTTGTAACTGCATTATTGTTTTGTGTGCATCGATGATTTGGTAGAAGTGTTAATTCACTGGGTATGTAAAACCATATTTCGGCATGTTAATATTAAGCGGAAATAACATAGCGGATTCTCGACCAAGTTTAAAGATATTCAAAGTTTAATAGGTTGTGATTGTCAATTTCGTTATCAATCAACATTATGATAACAGGGATTAAAGATCTCCTTCTTTTTAAAATGATTGAAGAGTCCCTCTTGTTTTGCTATTTTGTAAAATTAACGTAGCCAATCAAAGTATGGCAAACTAAGTCAAAGAGACAAGTACCTTACACATGCAGCTTTTTATTTCCTTTCTAAATACCAATGGCTATATGATTTCATTGTTCAGCAATTTTATATCTTATTTATATTGCCATCTGTATCAAACTATTTTTTTACTTCTATCATCTACTATCCGCAATATTTGCAGTGCTCGCACTGTCTGTTGTCCCACCTAAAAAAGAAAATAGCAATGTCAGTCAAACCTCGGATTCGTCGAACACAATGTATTCCTTGAACTATTGATCTGGACCCCATGAGTTTGAGTAAGCGAGGTTTTACTGTAGCTGGTGGTCTAGTATTGTGTCAGCAGTATACTAAGTGTCTGGTATAAGTGTAAGCAGTATACCAAGCTAGTATGCCACTAAAGATTATAATCCTTACCTGTATCCAGTACACCCATGGCTATGCCCTGGAGAGAGAACATCACAGCCAGCACTACCAGGGTCAGTGCCCAGGGAATCACACATGTTGCCAGGGAGGCCAGAAACAGTGTTACACACAGCAACAGTTGTTTGTCAAATATGTCAAACAGGAATCCTCCAACAAGGGCCCCTAACAAGTAGCCAACAGAGCGGGCGGTAAACACCAAGGCCATGTGGGTGGTGTCGGACTGAACCCGTTCTCCAAGGTCTATCAGGGTAGGGCCCGGAATGGCAATACACAGACCCTGTCATAACAGTAACAAACACCAGTAAGTGACGGTAATAATATCTTTACAAATAGTTACAGCAGTATCAAAACACCAGTAAGTGAGCAGTAATTATATCTTTACAGACAGTTACAGCAGTAACATAACACCAGTAAGTGACGGTAATAATATCTTTACAAATAGTTACAGCAGTAACAAAACACCAGTAAATGAGCAGTAATTATATCTTTACAGACAGTTACAGCAGTAACATAACCCCAGTAAGTGAGCAGTAATTAGATCTTTACAGACAGTCACAGCAGTAACATAACACCAGAAAGTGAGCAGTAATTATATCTTTACAGAGAGTTACAGCAGTAACATAACATCAGTAAGTGAGCAGTAATTATATATTTACAGACAGTTACAGCAGTAACACAATACAAGTAGGTGATCAGTAATTAGATCTTTACAGACAGGTACAGCAGTAACAAACACCAGTAAGTGACGATAAAAATATCTTTACAAATAGTTACAGCAGTATCAAAACACCAGTAAGTCAGGAGTACTTATATCTTTGCAGACATTTACCGCAGTAACATAATACCAGTAAGTGATCAGTACCCCCCTCTTTACAGACAGTTACAGCAGTAACAGACACCAGTAAGTGACGATAATAATATCTTTACAAATAGGTACAGCAGTATCAAAACACCAGTAAGTTAGCAGTAATTATATCTTTACAGAGAGTTACAGCAGTAACATAACCCCAGTAAGTGAGCAGTAATTATATCTTTACAGACAGTTACAGCAGTAATATAACACCAGTAAGTGATCAGTAATTAGATCTTTACAGAGAGTTACAGCAGTAACATAACACCAGTAAGTGAGCAGTAATTAGATCTTTACAGACAGTTACAGCAGTAATATAATACCAGTTAGTGAGCAGTAATTAGATCTTTACAGACAGTTACAGCAGTAACATAACACCAGTAAGTGAGCAGTGATGACAATAATCAGACTGACTATCCTTACAGTAAGTATTCTGAACTCCAGTTAAATTTATAGGACACCTAAACTTACCAAGCTAAAGAATGCCAATGAGAGACAGAGTATCTTGATCATACTCTGACACCATACTGATGACCTTGACCTCTTCTGTTTATTGTCAAGGAGACCTGCCTCATCAAACGTCACCTCCTCTTCCTCCACGTCATGCATCATGATTGGCAATTGTTTTTATACTATTTGGCAGTTGTATCTTTATCTAAAATAATTCATCTGAAACAAAAGTGATTGTCTTACTCATTATGTAAGTAAAAGATGATTGTAAGCTTAAAGCTTCAATACAGTGCCTCAACACACATATTTTATAACTGATCAAGTATACATGAATGACAATGTCCAGTCCAACAGGTCAGGAAAGATGCTTTGTTTGAAGGGAAATGTATCATTTGTAAGATGGAATAGGGCAGGCTACAAAATAAAGGTAAATTCAGGATACAGTATGTTTATGGTGAGCTAAGGAAAGTCATGTTTATATAAAGTATGTTGTATCAAAGGGAAGTACAGTCTATTAGATCAACTGTATATACCAATATATAATTGACATAACAAACTCAAATCTGTTAAACCACAATATAAACTCCACCCTGAGCCCAAAGAAACTTACAATAAACTTTGACATCGTTTTGCAAGGTGTCAGGTCGTTTCGCAGTAAGTTGTTTTACCCTAAAAATATTTTTAAGGGTAAAATTGTTTTAGTCATATTTAGTTGTGTATGGCTAATATAGAATTTAGACAGAAAAAGGATGAAGATATATTAATATATAATAAACTTGACATGACATCGTCATGGCATACAAGCACAAATGTAACTCAAAAGGACTGCCACTTTATTTTACTTTTCACTCGGCCTAGCTCAGGTCTAAGTATGGATAGCATTACTGAAACAAATATGTTCTATTTTTACAGAACAACCATGCATGTTAGGATATTGTTGTAATTTCTTCTGCCTATTGCTACTACTTGTCGAATTATTAATCTTCATATTGACAAACAGCAAGGGCTGGCAAAGAGAGTAAATGTTATACGACTTTCCGTCTAAATGAACCGGTATACTGATCTAAGGCAAAATATATCCAAATGGGTTTTCATTGTAAGGTTTTAGACGAAAAATATCCTGTATGGCTCAAAACAAAAGTTGTGTTTATGTGGAAATCGGAGGCTACGGAACATCAAACCGAGACAGTCTAGAGATTATAACGCCGGAAACAGACTCGCGTCTGGGTTCCCAGAGATTTACACGTACATGTACGTAGGCTATGTATGTCAGTAACGTTATTATTAGCTGTGCTCATATAAGTACGCAACGAATCGAAATCAGTCAACTAATTACGAGTTAAATATTGTAAGTAATGGATAAATCATCACACCATATATACACCTTTCCCTGACACCAACCAATACATAATTTGTTTACCATTTATGACAGGACTTGTTGACTGAGGATACCGACAGCTCACCGTCACGTTATTTCATGATCAGATAAAAGCTTTATTCTAACGTGATGGCACGCTGGAGCCTTCTACAAGAGTTTCATATACGCTGATGAGCCCATATATCATTGCAAAATGCTATGAAATGAACAAATTCTTGTACTGAATTTACTAACTATCTTGAATTTAGTAATCGTTAATTTATATTAACATGCTTTCGGAGATATCGAAATATATCCAAAACACTATTTCATTCTAAACGAAAATAAATTATTTTCATTATGGATTTCTTACCATTACAGATTCCAACCAGTTTGTTCAAATGTTCAATCAGAGACGTATATTACAGAGATTGGCAACTTGCTCTTTACCTTACCATTGGTCCGGCAGAGCGTATATATTACTAATGGCTTTATATGTCTCTGGTTGAGTTAATAAAAATATATTAAAGTTTAAAAAACCGTTGAAAACTTTACATGAGTCAGAGACGTATACATTACTGCCACAGATTTGATCAAAGTCCGTGGGTAATATCACGGACTTAGATAACAATGGTAATATCTCATCTTAACAGTAACATGTATGTATGTCACGGCAGAGACGTTCACAACACCCCCTCCAAATTAATTTAATAATTCATAATTTTGTATTTCATATGATTACATCTAACTTTTATTTGCAAATGATCGCGATGAAAAACGCGGTACTGTGTCTCAGCATTGGACTTTTTCGGACGATTATCGTGTGAAGATAAGAATGGACATACATATTTCCAATCAGATGACTGAAGAAAGTTAGGATACTCTTTTTAATTATTTACGTTACCGTTCACCGATCTACTGAACCACGGACTTAGATGGCCAATCTAATTCCGTGACTGAACCAAGCTCTACCTATCATGAGACAGACTTAACAAGACACAAGGACGTTATTCAAAGAAAGTGTAGACTAAATTGATGCACATTAATTTTTTTATGTTTCAAAACTCCCAAAGAAAGTGTCCGAATAGATGATATGTCTCTGGTTCGATGATTGACTGATGACAATTTCGTAATCCGTTCTTGACATTTGTTACCTCAGAGACGTGCTGATGATTTTAGTCTCCAAGTTTCATTGGCAAGATAAACATTTACGTGTAATTTACTTGTAGTCAATTATCCACTCTAATTGTCAACCCGGACACGCGACCCCAAACAGTATACGTGTGTGTTCACCACGGGAGGGTGGTGTCACCGATAAGGCGTGGCTTTTACCTTCGGCGGTAATTGGCTCGTTTATCTGGTGATTGATGGCTTTAGAAAATTGCAGACTGACGGTATAATTTGCGGGCTTCTTCTCGTTTCCCCCACTTTTTAAAATAACATGGGGGGAAGAATGTTGTTAGAAGGATTATAGTTTGTTTCTAAGTAGTATGGGCAGTATTTACCTGTGTTTTTACCTGTTTTTACCTGGGTTTACCTGGGTTTTTACCTGTGGTTAACCCTTCTATCTAAGGTGGTGTTTTATCATATTTAATTTAATAATACATTATACAAGTTTTTTCAGATTTGTAATGACAAATATCAAAATTAAAATTATTTAAATATTAATCGTATATATAAATATATATATTCAGTATTAAATATATCTATTGTGTAGTCCTTGTGCTGCTGATATGATAAGATGAAATGTGTTATTTCATTTTCTAGTACATTTACTTTAAATAACCTTTATCATTGTAACATTTAATAAGATGCCTACATTACTTTGTACAAAATGTAAGAATGTAATGTGTGACTGAGAGTGTGGTGTTTAACAGTTAATTAATCAGTTAATCAATCAAAATTCCTAGATGTTATAAGTATCTTATAACTATCATAAAAATCATTGAACATCTATAATTATCCAAGCTATCATTTCCATCCAGGTGAGCTAAAAGTGATCACGGCCTATGCTAATTACTGAGATGATGATGCGTGTTACCATTATTTAAGCACTCCTTAATTTGTATATATATATAGCAAACAATCATTCTGGGGCAGTCATATCCAACTGTACAGCTCAAGCAGTATTGCAGTGTTAAGAACAACAGAGGTGAGAGGGCCTACTGGACCTGTGTTGATGCCACCTGCCCTGCCACACTGACTACACTAAATGATATTCCAGTACGGTTTGGACAACGCCAGCACACCCAGACCATGCCAACGTCATCGCCAGAGAGATTATGAAGAAGAAGGTTCACCATGTGTATACATCCGAACATCTTCGCCATCATTAGAGTGTTCCAGGAGATTCAGGCAGCCAACGAGATCAACAGGATACAACGAGATGCAGGAGGAGTCAACAGACCACGTGAGAAACGATACCGAAACAGGAGCGCCTTGAGAACCAGACGATGGATCTTATGGAGTACGCCAATGCAGCATCACATCTCTTACATTTGTGATAGATAGCAACAAAATTGTGTGTCTTTTGGCTGTTGGACATGAACTTTAAATTGGAGATATGATATAAATTTGAGGGGGGGGGGCAATTTGAGATTTCTATTACTAAACGTTACTATTCTTAATATGTGAATATTGTTAATGTATTTGTATTGTGTGATTAGTAAATGTAATTTACAGTTTATATTGATGGATTTAAATTCTTAACATGTTTTGAAATGTAATGTTAAACTTGTCTTGTATTTGGTGGCCTAAACTTTGTAATATAAATTAATATAATTAATATGCATTGACGGTTGTATGTTTAAAAATTGTAATATAATTGAAATGTAATCATTATGTATAAGTAGTGAAATACTCGATTGTGAACTCTTATGTAGTGCTGTTTTATTCTATATTATCTGTTTAAAAGTGTAATGTAAATATTTGACTGTAAACTCTACATATGTATAAGTGTCAAAATATATCGATTATAAATAAAGATATTTGAACCCAAAAAAAGTATTAAAACCTTATTTATTATACCCAACATATACAACAAAGCTACATGTCACACAGNCCACGGGGCCGGCGGGGGGGGGGGGGGGGGGGGGAGTATGAAACAGACTATAATTGGTTTGCAAATGTCTTCCTAAATCAACACTTTCCTTTGTTATATAAAAAGTGGGGGAAACGAGAACACCCCCACTTGCGTACGTTTCAAGACTATGAACAAGGAGACGGAGTTTAGAATAGTCCCGGGTTACAGAATAGTCCCGGTGTCATATAAAATTTTCATCCCCCATAAAATACTCATCCGGATGAGTATTTAATGCATTAAATACTCATCCCCCCCATAAAATATTCATCCCCCCTAAAATTTATCAAAACTTTTTACATATATACAAAATGTATAGCATTATTACATCATGTTACCTGTAATACATGGTTCCTATATGTCTATCCAGGTAATTATAATACACAGGGTGTCACCTGTGGGAGCTTGGGCCCTAGGGGCTACTGTTGCCTGGTGACAACATACAGGTGTGGTCAAGATCAGCTGTGAATAAGT